CGGTAGAGCCGAGCACTTCTGGGGCTGTGCCGAGCACTTCGGAAGGGATGCCGAGCACTCTAGGAGGAGTGCCGAGCACTCTTGGAGGGATGTCGAGCACGCCAGGAGTGGTGCTGGGAGGTTCTGCAGTGGCGGTGACCACTCCAGGATGGGTGCCGAGCACTCCTGTGGCGGGGCCAAGACGTCTTGTAGTGGTGCCAACCACTCCAAGACTGAGGCTAAGCACTCCTGCAGTAGTGCCAAGCACTGCAGGAGTTGTGATGAGCTGTCCAGAAGTAGTGCCGAGCACTCCGACGGAACAGGGAACTCCATCGACGCCGATCAAGTTCGCCTCACCTCCAAGTGACATCACTGAGTTCGTGGACGCCTACCACGAAGGTGAGGAGGTACGGTTCCGCAGGCTGGACGACATCGTCGATGGCACAGGTCCCTCAGGCCTAGCGGGTAGGCTGCTCAATGACCCAGAGCTGCTGCTCGTCAGTGCAGAGGAACCACCCACGTTCGCGCTGGCCGAGCGCGATGGAAACTGGCGACGGGCGATGCTGGAGGAGATGAAGGCGATCAAGGAAAACGAGACTTAGCAGCTCGTCGATCCACCTCCAGGATGTCGTCCGATCAGCCTGAAGTGGGTGTACAAGGTCAAGCAGGACGAGCACGGCGCCATTGTCAAGCACAAAGCGTGCCTCGTGGCCCAAGGCTTTGTACAGCGCGAGGACATCGACTTCGAGGAAGTCTTTGCGCCAGTAGCGCGCATGGAGTTTATCCGTTTGCTACTAGCTTTGGCAGCAGCAAAGGACTGGCACGTCCATCACTTGGACGTTAAATCGGCCTTCCTCAACGACGAGCTGGCGGAGACGGTCTTCATCAGGCAACCTCCAGGTTTCACCGTCAAGGGAGAGGAGTACAGGGTGCTCCAACTGCGCAAGGCGCTCTACGGGCTGCGACAGGGCCCCATGAGCATGGAATGCCAAGCTTGACGCCATGCTGGGCGAGCTTGGGTTTTAGCGGTGCGCAACCAAGCACGCGCTCTACACGCGGCGATAGGGGAAGGAGCTCGTCGGTGGCATGTATGTGGATGGCTTAATCGTCACCGGCGCGCGCACGGAGGACATCAACGGCTTCAAGCGCGAGATGACCGCTCGTTTTCGAATGAGCAATCTCAGCGCACTCTCCTACTACCTCAGCATTGAGATGAGACAGGGGAAGGAGGAACTCACGCTCGGTCAGAGCGCGTATGCCTCCAAGCTGTTGGAGCGGAGCGGCATGGCTGAGTGCAAGCCATGCGTAACTCCGATGGAGGAGCGGCTGAAGCTGACGAAGGTCAGCACCGCGGCGAAGGTGGATGCAATACTCTACCAGAGCATCGTCGGCGGTCTGCGCTACCTAGTCCACACGAAGCTGGACATTGCGTTCGTAGTGGACTACGTTAGTCGCTTCATGGAGGATCCCAGAGAGGATCACTGGGCTGCGGTGAAGCGGCTACTGCGCTACGTCAAGGGGACGGTGGATCAAGGGATCATCTTTCCCAAGACCGGCGGGAGTAGGCTGTAGCTCACTGTATTCAGCGATGCAGACATAGCGAGGGACATCGATGGACGGTGGAGCACCTCTAGCGTGCTCGTCTTCCTCGGGTCAGCCCCAATTTCATGGCTGTCGCTGAAACAGAAGGTGGTGCGCTATCTACGTGCGAGGCAGAGTACGTAGCGACGGCCACAGCGGCGTGCCAAGTTGTGTGGCTACGCCGGCTGCTGTGCGAGCTGACCGGTGCGGAAGCTCACCCACCAGCACTGATGGTGGACAACCAACCCGCCATCGCCCTCGTAAAAAATCCGGTTCTACACGACCGGAGCAAACACATCTACGTGAAGTTCCACTTCCTCAGGGACTGTGTCGATGGAGGGCAGATCGTCATCGAGTTCGTCAAAACTGGTCGGCAACTCGTGGACGTTCTCACCAAGCCGCTCGGACGTCTTCGACTCACGGAGCTGAAGAAGATGATTGGCATGGAGGGGGTATAAGGGATAGCAGTAGGATTAGGGTAATAATTATTAGAATAATCTACTGTTTCCTTGTGTGAACACACAGTAAGGGCAGACGGTGCCAAAAAGGCCCCCTGCTGTGATACTGTAGCCGTTGCAGGTGCAGGCGCCGCACGGCTCACCTGCGGCACTGTAGCCACATGCAGAGGCCGGCACAGAGTTAGCCCTGCTATGTTATCTAGTCACTGTTGCAGCATGGCAGCTGTACTAGGACTAGATGGATAGAGTTGTATAAATAGACTGTCACGGCAACTTAGTAAAGAGAGTTCAGATTTATCATCTCCCATACAGGGCTTCGGCCAACGCTGGTGTCTTGTACTGTGTGTGTATGCTATGTTCTTCCTCTTCTTTAACCTCTAGCCATAGTGTGTGGGGATGGATAACGTTTCTTCGTGGTCGGCACGGCTAGTGGGTGCTCGGTAATACTAGCGGATGCTCGACAAGACCGGAGAGTGATCTACTCACCTGAGCCGGTGATTCTGTGGGCTAACAATGAACACAGTGCCGCTCGAAGAAATTGCTAGGCTGCTAGGACTTGGGAAAGTGCTTTAACAATTGGTGCGGACTGTTGAGTGCTTTAGGTGAAAGGGTTCAAGTTTTCATTCATATATTTGATTGTTTTGTCATTTCTCAAGTTCTTTCAACTGGGATTGATGGATAATGTTGTGTTTCTTTCAATGTTGGACTAGCTTTATTACTACTGACAAACAATTAACCTTGATCAACAGGTCTTCAATGCGGCAAAGCACCCCTATCTTTCCTAGTAAAAATCTAGTATAGAGGTTTGTTTTGTAAATTTTCAAAAAAAAGGTTTGTTTTGTGAAATGCAGACAAAATATGACAGGTCTGTGAAAATTAGCACAAAAAACTTTATTAGATCTGTGAAATTTCTACTCACAAAAGTAATCTAAAATCATGCAAGATTGTAAGTAGATATCGGGGGCATGCTTGTTTCAAAGTTGAAAATCAGCATTAAACGTGACTCAGCGCGGACTACAGTGCTCCCTCAATCTTGAAATTAGTAGGCATGTTTTGTTTTGCTACAACAAGCATCTGATGAACAATCTCTTTTAACAATATATAGTTTTGTAGTACGAAATTGGTGTTGCTAGATTCGTATTGAAAAACATTATGATTACGGTTCAGCATCACTTACTTAACATATTAATAGAATAATCGCGATCAAAGCCACCAGACAAAAATACGCCTACTAATTCCAAATGGACGAAGGGTTTTCAGAGTACTTTGCATTTACACCTTGACGTTATCTTCGTCATGCATCTCAAGATCATCTCTTTTTTTAACGTAATCTCACGATCATCCTATCTCATAATCCTGATCCATTAAGCTGGACAGGCTGGACACAAAGAGGCAACGCTGAGGAGGAATCACACAATGGTCATCCGAGATCACCAATAAATCAGCAAGTGGAGCAAGGGTTCAGACGTGCGCCAGGCACGCGTTCAGGGACAGAGAGATCACAAACATTCTACTGCCACCTCACAAAGCGATCGATCTGCCCTCTGCTACCGTGCAAAAGCCATGATCAGAATCCATATATGAAGTCATGGCGGTCCGTCAGTCTCTGCACCCGGACGTACGCGTCTTGACATTTCTGCTCGGCTCCGGCGTAGGAGCAGCGCAACGGGACGCCACACGCGATCTCCTCCCGAACGAAAGCCAGGGCTTCCACGCGTCACACACTGCTGGCTTCCAGCTTCAATGAAGTGCGTCCAACTCGAGACCCGATGAAACCGTTACTCTGTTAGCCTAGCTTAGCTTGCAGACGAAGCTGAAGGATAAACTAGTTAAACTTCCATATACATCAGCTGGCAACGATAAGCGACCTGAAATATATAAATGTGTGCTCCATATCAAACTGTTCAGGTTGAGTGATGATTTCGTCAGTTCGATTGACTTGTCCGGCGAGGATTTGTATATTTATTATTCAATGTAGAAACTGCAGGGCGCGTTCAAAGATAAGACCCACAGATCGGCGCGACGCAATGATGGAAACAAGTGGCTGCTGAATCCGAATGATCCGTGTGCAATGATAGACCAGAACATGCACCTGCGTCTGCATGGCTTGTGAAGCTAGCGACTGAGGTCAGGGAGGAAGAAGATGACCCAATCATGAGCAGATTTTTCTTGCTCGCAACGCCAAGAGAGTTGCTGGTCTGAAAGGACTAGAGATGTTGTGTGCTCGCTCCGGCGGGCCTCGATGACTGAGATGCTCTAGCTTATTATTCTTTTGGAGAATCGATGGGGATGTTGTGTGCCAACAGTCAGTGAAGCCAATAAAATATTGGCGTTGCCATGCATATTTGAGCCAAATTCTCTTCAGACGACCCATGCGCAGCGATCAACTGATCATCCAGAAGCTTAATTTGGAGAAAATTCTCACAAACGCGTACGACTACTTGTATTCATACACATTCTGAATACTGAGACCCTATTGCAGTCAACAAAAGAAAATACTGTCTGAACTTACGAAGAGAAAACCATGGACGCATTCACCGAAAATTTGAACTCGGAGATACTGCAGCTAGCTGAATATGCATTACTATATGGTATCCATGCTTTTAGTCAACCGTGCAAGAGAATAAACAAATGCATGCCTAGCTAGAACACAAAAATATCAACCGCCGCAAGCGCAAGATACCATACATGCACAGGCCACAGGAACGTCCCTGAATTTCTGCAGAGATCTTGCACAAAATTTAATCGCTCACTCGTTCAAGTTTGCAGGCCAGCTAAGTTTCCCTCCGATTTCGCTAGGTACCTTGACGAATGAGCCAGTGACTTCATTTGCCAGAAATCGCCAACTTCCAGCCCGTGTCAGCCATGACACACAGCCAGTTGATGGCAGATATATAAACCCCAGTGAAGTCCACAGCTACAATCTTCAGAAGAGGAAGAAATTCGATCGAATTGATTGATTGATTCCACGAGCAGGCAGCAATGGCGATTGGCGCACCGCCGGATGATTCCCGTCAGCGGCCTGCTGCTAACCAGGCTGCAAACATCCTCGAGAATGTGTGGGCTACCATCATAGGCTCCGCTACCCCGGCGTCGTCGTCGACGGTCGCGTCGTCAGAGGTTGGCGAAGAGAGGCCGCCGGAGGCGATCTTGGAGAGGCTTCCCAGCCTGGGGAGGTGGATTTCCATGGGAGCCGAGGAGTGGGACGAGCTCCTGCTCAGTGGCACGGCGCTCGCGTCGGACGCCGCCGCCTCCGGTGAGCTGCTCGCCGCCTCGCCGGCGAACCAAGAAGCAGACCGGCAGCACGGTCATCGGGCCAGCAGCAGCTCCAAAACGGCGGCGGCGACATGCAAGAGCTACAGGGGCGTGAGGCGGCGACCGTGGGGCAAGTTCGCGGCGGAGATAAGGGACACGCGGAGGAAAGGCGCGCGGGTGTGGCTCGGCACGTTCGCGACCGCCGACGAGGCCGCGCTGGCCTACGACAAGGCGGCGCTGCGCATGCGCGGCCCGCGCGCGCACCTCAACTTCGCGCGCGACGTGGTGCAGCGCGAGCTGCAGGCGGCCGAGGCGGCGGCGGCGGCCGGGGACGGCTGTGCCGAGACGACCCGCGTGCTGCGACGGAAGAGGAGAGGCAATCACGATGCTGCTGATGATGATACAAGGCATGGGAGTGTGGTGGCGGCGGCAACTGGCCGTGATCCGACCACGGTGTCGTTCGCCTGTGCGAAGAAAGATCAGGGGACGCCGCCGTCGATGATGCCGGAACGCTCGATCAGTGATCAAGGAGCGGTGATCGAATTCGAGGACATCGGTGGCGAGTACTGGGACTACTTGTTCACCTGACTATTAGGGCTTTTTCCAACAAAGAAAGGTACAGCTAGAATCCTAGATAGGCAGGTTGCCCATTCATGGAAAGAAAAGAGAAGGCTACAGCTAAATCTTAATCTCTACTCTCTAGCAATAACTGTCCAGATCATCAGGTTCGACTGCTCTTGAGACTTTGTGGAAGTACTATGTAGATGTAGCCAAACATTATTATAGGGTGATTAATTAGCTGATCACTTGATGATATTTACTTGTAAATGCCCATGTAGGTGATTAATTAGTTTATCGATTCATGATAATATGACATGAGTAATTTTAGATACAAATTAAAGTATTTACTTTATATTATTTTCAGTAATAGTAGATGTGGGTAATCGAAAAACATATTGCCAGAATTCAGATGTTATTTTAGTATCTTTTTCGAATACACAATTATCCTTCATTCCTATATAGTCCCAAAAGTGGGTAACAACTTAGATGTAAAATTAGTGGGTTACTTTATAGTAGTATGTGCGTATAACCGTTGCGAAATACATATACATATTATATAATGAAAAAGACACACATACTACTGTATAGAACCGTTGCGAAATTACAGTAGTCAAACTCAAAGACTTTGGGGCCGTTCGGCATGACTTATTATGGTTGCGGCTGATTTGTAGGGCTAATTTGTTGTGAGAGAAAAACACTGTTCTATGACTGAAAAATAGGGCTAATTCTGGATGATAAGCTGAAACGAACGGAGCGTTTGAAGTTGCCTGACTGAACTGAACTGCACTGTGCATGATGCACGAAGTGTAGGCTGGAAGCATGAAGTCACATGGGCATGGGCGCACAAGTGAAGGAACCAACGGCGAGCGCACGAATAGGTCAGCCGGTCCGGTCGTGCACGTGCACCCGCACGTACGCATAATTAAGTACTACGTACACCGTTAATGGCTTAATGCTGCAGCAGTCATCAAAATAATGAAAGGCAATAATGAGAGAGAAGATGAGGACCTCGATCAATTACGTAATCTGACAGATGTTGATGGCTCCTGATCACAATGGTCGATCATTAGCGCCCTGTACCCCGGCGACTAGTAGGCGGCAAGCTCGCCGCACCCAACCACTGGAAGTGTTCGGTTCCACTTCCACGTTCAGGCGGAGCTCGCCGCCGCAAGCCTGCAACCTCGACCTTCTCCGTCCAGGTGGATTTTTGTCTTGATATATGATTCTTCAAGTCAAATCTGCTATTCTAGCATTGTACGTGTGTGGGCGCTAACTGGTAGCGGGTCAATTTCTTTCAAAATATCGGATGCAGTGAGGTAGCATTTTTTTTTTCTGCAACAAAGTCAGCAAGGTTCATCTGCAGGAATTATCTCCATGGGATATCAGACTAGCAGAATGGACGCTTTTGGCATTTTATTAGTACGTAGTAGCAAAACCATGCCCAGATCTTTTCTGGAACTGCCTGTTTACAGTTACAACCTTTAAAATGAAAAGATATAGGTATAGCATATACAACTTGCTAATAACTTAAGCTACACAACTATGCAAAACTGTTATACGTATGCACAGAACCTGATAACTTGTACATTCTCTTAGCACACAACACCGGAATTTAAACTTCTCTCTTGTACACTTAAGCTACACAACTAAAAATCAGTCTCCATCAAGTAAGACCAGACAGGTGTTGAATCCTGTGTTTAACTCACGCTTCAGCCTTCAGATATCTGTGGAGCAGATGTCTGTGTGGTCATCTTGCTTCTTAGCTCTTCAAAAGCTTTCATGCTTTCTGCATCGAAGCCCCCAGCAAACTGCAGAAAGTAGAGGAATAAGTTGCTGATTCGAAATCTTCAAGTCACCTGTGAAGTACCTAGGTTTTGAATATATTGGTAAGAGGATTTTACCTGATGAACCCGGAAAGCGAACCTCACACCCTGGAGAAGCAAAAACTCTCTATTGGGCTCTTTCTCAGTGCCTTCCAATCCATCAAGTTCTGAGGCAACCCTCTTCATATACTTGTTCGCAAGCTGAACAGATGCCAATTTGATCTATTCCAACATGCAAATAAAAATATTGAGTTCATGTAGGTGCATACTGAGTAAAAGCGTACCTGCCTTCATAAGGAATTTAAGATGCATGTTTTCTTTAACAAAAGGTTGGCAAAATTGGAGTGTATGATAGAGATGCACACCTTCCCAACTACTCCAGAATCAGACAGCCAGTCAAATGGGATCCCATACTCCTTGTAGCGTGAGACGGCCATGTCTCTTGTACGGAGTAGTGCATAGACACTCTGCTCCACTCTGGCATAAGTATTGACAATAGTTAGTACAATGAAACCATTACTTTGGGTAAAATTATGTTCATCACGTACATATCTTAAACCAGGCAAAAATATTGTTGTTTCACTCTGAAGGACTATGTTAGAGAGAATACTAGGTCTAACGAGACACTTACTTTTCAAGCAAAGAATACATCTTCTTGAGAGTTTCTTCACATGCAAGTTGTGGATCATCGGTAAAGGATGAAACCTTGTTCTGTAACTTTATCAGATCCTGGTACTCAAAAGCTGCTTCTCTTATTGCATCTGTTTTGCTCTCTGGCCAATCAAAATGCTTTAGCACTGCTCGCTCATCAACCTAAAATGTTGTTGATCCTCTTTAGTATTAGAACATGTGTCATAAGTACAATAACTGGTACTTTATAGCAAAGGTGTTGTATGAAGGGCATGCGCTTACCAAGAAAGATAACTCCTCATCCAACCAATTTACAAATGCAACAACATCATCAATATTTACAAAACTCGCTGCTCGGACCTCATTTGCTAGAGACTCAACAAATTCTCCTTGTGTCTCCACATCAGCTTTTACCTGAAGCATTCCATGTTTTTATAAAACATTTGTCACTTTTTATTATTGTTAAATTTGATTACTAGTTATAATTATGCATTAATAGCGGAACTCATAAATTTGGCAGGATTCTTGTGCAAGGTGGTGCCAACAGAAAATACTTACAGCTAAGAGGAATGTCGATCTGTTCTCAATCTCTCCAATCATGTTACTCCTGGCATCAGAAACATTGGATGACATTGATCCTAAAGATGTCTCTTTTTTTGCTTCACGCTTCATGAGACTTTGATAGAACTCCACAATCTCCGGTGCACGGTGTACCTTGTCACCCCCACCAAGGTTCCTTGGTAGAGCACCTGGAGGTGGCGGTGGTGGCGGTGGACCACCAGCTTTCCCTGGAGGTGGTGGAGGAGGAGGAGGTGCACCTGGTGCACGTGGCGTTTGTACTCCACTTGCAGTATTGGTAGCCCCTGAAGCAATGGCTGATCGAGGGGGAGGTGGTCTGGGAACTCTTGTTGCTCTCTTCTCAATGTTGGCAAGCTTCATCTGGCTCACCACCAGGGTGTTGTTTTGGTTGTCACTAGATTGCTCACTGGATTCAGCATTAGCTGTAGGGGATCTCTCCTTGATTTGAGCAAGTTTCCGAGGGAGTGCACCTTTAGGAGAGGAAATAAGAGCTGAACTGTGTCCACCGCCAAACCTTTGTGCTCTTGCTTGTCCAGCCTTCTCTTTTATCGTCTTTTCCCGTTCAGTTGCAAGTTTGTGCCTATCTTTGTAAGCGGGATACTTCTCATCAGCAAAACCTTCGACTGTCTTGGACATCAATTGGAATGAGGATGCGATATTTTCATCGTCCAAGGCATCATTGGGATCCCTCTTTCCATATGTTGTTATGGTTGTACCATCTCCAGCATTTTTTAGCATGAGAGCTTCTAGGGGGCCCTTTGGTTTCCTCAGTGGAGAACCACCGATTGGGGAGGCTAAACTACTACTGTCATCCTTGCTCCTTCCCCACTTTTTGATTTTTTGCATCAGATTAGACCTTTTGCTTAGGAAGCTGTATCTGCTGGAAGAACTATCAATTGAAATGTTGTCAAAGTCTTCACTTCCAGGTGAAGAAGGCATTGAAGAAACGCTCTCAAGGTCTGTGTCACCGTGACCCCGTTCAGATCCTGCGTACTCCAACATAAGTTGTTTGGCCCTCTCCTGTGATTTGGGGCTCAGTGTCTTGTTAAGATCACATGCAGACACCTTCCCTGATGGAGTCTGATAGTTGCGGAGCTCAAATCTCAGACAGGCATTGACCCAACGCAGGTATACCAACTCCTCTACTTCACTAAACCTGTTCATCTGTAGGCCTTCCACTTGCTTTGTGAGGTCCTCATTTGTATGCCTTAGCTTGTTTATCTCTTCTCTTGCATTGGCAACCACATCACTCTACATGATAAATGGTAGGGTATGCCGTTAGCACATGCTCCTGCTTCTCAAAGTATATCAAAACTATATGAATACTTTGCAGAAATCACTAGGTGCATTCTTGCCTCTTAGAGAATCTTAAATTCTAATGTAGTTGTTAAATGTAATGCTACCTCTTAAATCATGCTTTAGTAAGTACTTTAGGTAACTGCATTTTCATTGTACTGGTCTGAAATTTTGTTAATGGTAGGCTTTGTAATATCTTGCATAATGATAGCCATGCATAAGAGGAAGTTACAACTTTTGCGGTTATCTTCATGAGATTTGTATTATTTTATGAGAAAGGCAACTTGCAGAGACTAATAGTACTAAGATACCTCAGTTATTTTTCCTTCAACTACATCCAATTTCACAATGAGATCTCTCTTCTCATACAACAACTCCTTGGTCTTCCTCCTTAGCTCAAGTACCTCCGCTTCCAACTCCTTGAGCTTCTTTAGCTTTCGCTCAACTTCGGCTTCCTTTTTTGCCGCCTCTTCCTCCTTGGCCTTCAATCCGATGACCTGCTGTTTCAACAACATTAACTGACCTTTTGTCTGACCTGCTTCTAGCTGTATCTGCCGTTGCAGCTCCCTGATCTTGCTCCTAGCCACTTCGAGCTCTTTCTTGGCAACTTCTCCACATGCAACATCATCTTGTAGCTTCTTCCGCTCCTCCTGCAGTGAGTTTATGGTGTCGCTGAGCATGTTGATCTCCACTGTCTTGTTCTTCCGCTCCTCCTGCAGTGAGTTTATGGTGTCATTGAGCATATTGATCTCCACTGTCTTGATCTTGAGCTGCTTTTGCGGCTCAGTGACGTCAGTCTCCATTTCCTTCATTCCATAGTACTCCAGCAGCTCACCCTCAAGCTTCGCCTCCCTCTCTTCCATCTCCCTCACCAAGCTGCGCAGTCTCTCTGTCTCAGAGGCCTCGTTAGCCATGTAAGCAAGCTTGTCCTCAAGCTTCGCCTCCCTCTCTTCCATCTCCCTCACCAGGCTACGTAGTCTCTCTATCTCAGAGGCCTTGTTAGCCATGTAAGTAAGCTCACCCTCAAGCTTCGCCTCCCTCTCTTCCATCTCCCTCACCAGGTTGTGCAGTCTCTCTATCTCAAAGGCCTGGTTAGCCATGTAAGCATTGTACCGTGACCGTCCATTGACATCAAACCGATCACGTGGTATAGGGATGTCAATGTCTCCTGACAGGAGGCTCTCAATCTCGGAAAGCATATCGTCATCGTCATCGTCTAGTGAACGAGCAGAGTTAACTATGCCACTGATTGTTTTAACCTCTTCCTTCTCTTCTTCTTTCTCTCGCTCCTCTTCATGTTGCTCCCCCTGTAACAGCAGTTGGAGAGATCAGTATGACATAGGGACTTTGCTGTGATATACTTAAATGACTGTGAGCCCTTCATCTAATTAGATCAGATGGTTAGAATCGTCTATTACTTCCTAAGATGTAGTATGTGAAATATATATTTATTTAATTTTTAATTTTAGAAAATAGGATAACAAGGAAAGTTTTACATATAAAAATCTTTTTAAGTATAATTGATGCATGTGTGATCGTGGTAAATCTTTTTATATTTGGTAATATGTTTCTGGCGTGTAAGCTTTTTTTACACGTAATGCCTCCTTATTAGCAAGCATTGTCATGTTAGCTCACTTTTTTAATATATATACTTGATGCACAGGAACGTGTACCTCTCCTGTTTGCTAGCGTGTTAGACTTATGCTGAGAATTTTTTTTATTCATGTGCGTGATTTTTTCCAACTGTTACCAATTTTTCTTATGCATCTAAAATATTTTTTAATGGCACACGTAGCATGTTTTGTACTTATTGTTAACGATTTTTCTTAATTAACGTTACATGTTGCACCCGGCCAGTTAAAAAAAATCACTCTTTTTTTTCTGCACGGACGACGTTTACACGAGGGACATCAGGCCGCTAGACCGCGCTTCCAGCGCCCATGAGTTGCTGCACCAGTTGGCGCGCACAAACAAAGAAGGAAGGGCCTGCCTACTTTTTTATTCTCCAGTGATTATGGGATATATGAGAATATTTTTCAATTTTCTTAAATTATTTTTATTTATTTAACTAATTTATAAAATAAAAAAAATCAATGGCTTGGATTCATTTGAGCTATCACCTCCTAGTAGGTAACGTGGGTACTGTAGCAATACAACATAATTTTCTTTTAGCAAAATTTAACTGATATAAGATGTACATACATGTTCAGAACTGCGAGCCTTATCCTCCCTTTTCCTTGCTTGGCCATTGTCTGAAAGCAAGGATGCTTGAATGAAGAACTCAAATGAACAGAAGAAACCTATAGAAGAGAGTGCAGAGCAAGATTGGTACCTTTGTTGTGCCTACCCCCACTGTTAGCTCTCCGAAGAGTTAAAGCTGCGACAGAGGCTACAACGACAAAGCCTAATCTTACAAGCATGACTCTGTTCACTCATCACTCTGCCGGCCTCAACCGGCATGAGGGCCGAGATGGGGAGCTTCTACTCATCAAAAAATGGTGAAGTGGAGTTAAAGCATGTATGAATGGCCTAGCAGACTAAACTCTCTTCATATCTTAGCCCAGAGATGGATTGGAGCAGCTGCCTGCCTGCGAGAGCTGATGAGCATACACCACAAAAACATGTGGCTGGCTGCAATTGCCTTCTCTGTGTTTATCCGTTTGCAAAAACGAACTCATGTACCATACAAGTCCCTTTCATGTCTCTGTGTCCAACTGTCTGGTAGCTGACAAAATTTTCATATGCTGATGGTGAAAGCGAGCCTCTTCGTGGCTACTGATTTGGCCCGGCCGTGATGCACAGCGAAAGATTTGTGGCTTGGAAGCGAGTAGGCCCATTTGCTAAGCACGGGAATGGGTGGTGGCTGGTGTGCTTGGGTATCACAGGAAAAATGAGGGGACTTATCAAGCTCACAGCAGCAGCGTCGCCGACGACGGCGGGCGCTCGCCGCCGCCGTGTCCGTGCCCGTGCGCGTGCTGCTGCAGCAGATCTCCCATGCTCTCCCGCTCGCTGTCGCTCGCGCCCGCGTGGCCGGCTTTGAGGGAGTCCGGTCGGCGGTGCCTCGATCGGGATGATGGCACTCTCTGTCTCTTGTGGCAGCGGGGAAATGGCGCGGAGAGGGACGTGCCCGCGCCGGCACGTGTCCGGGCGCCGCGCGTGCATGCGCGACGTGTGTGGCGGGCGAGCCGACCAACGGACGTACTGCCTCGCTCGCTCGCGCTGCAGCTCCTGGCGGCCGTGCATTTTGTTCTCACCAGACTTGTAAATTCCGTTCCGGTTTCGGCCGTTCCGGCCGGAATACCTCACCTCGTACCAGTGTGTGGACCGGCATAGAAGACGTCGTATCCCGTACCGGCCAAGATTCCGGTTGATTTCGGTCATCCCGGCTGTTCCGGCCGGAATAAAGCGTTTCGTGGATCCCGTACCGGCCAGTCGACGATGGAACTCCGAGGTCACCATGGGCGGCGAGCAGGCGCGCTGCCGTGTTGCCGCATTTTCTGCCGGGGCAGTGAGTGCTGCAAGCAGTTAGCACGAACAGAGGAGCGCCAGTAGAAGCTCAATTCCATCTACGGTCAGGCCGTCAGGACTCGGGATCGGAGGAGCTTAGCGCTGGGGCCATGGCAGTCTGAGAAAAGAAAGAAGATGAGGCCACGAGAGAGAATGAAAAGAGGCTCGTTTGCTGACTTGAGAGAGAGAGAGAGGAGGGGTGGGCGAAGCCTGGTTTTGACGGCGGCGTTTTTTTTTTTTGACGCCTCTCATAAACACACACCAACACCACACACACGCACACCTCACTCACATCCAATGTACATAAACAGACCATACAACTACACATATATTCGAAGATTGCGTTATTAAGGAGATCACCGAAACCATCCAAGGCTTCATAGGCAACGGGCGCACCGTTATCCCTTTATGGCTCCACACAGAGAGATGCTGCACCTGTTAGATGATGTGGGGAACACCCGGTGGAAATCGTGAGTCGAGCAAAGCTCGAAACCATGACCGGCCGCTCCACCACCTAGTTACCGCTCGACTTGTGTTGTGGACGTGTGGCCTCAGGTTAATCATATTGAATAATATAGTGAATAGGTAAGTCTATTGACTAGGGCAAAGGCCCAACAAAAACTAGCAGGATGGCCTAGCATCACTTCTACAGCAAACTTAACCGAGGTGGGCGCTTTTCATTATCCGAGGCGAGCAAAGGCAACCGCCTCCGTCCAAAGGTCACGGTTAATCCGTGAATAACGGAGGCGGTTGCCCTGCCCGCCTCGGTTAATCGATAAAAAAAATCCTGGAGCTCACCGGCGAGCCAGTTCCCGAGCCCCCCATCGAGCCCGTTCCAGCCCTGTAGCTGGATCTAGCCACGTCGTCGCCCATTGTGCCGCACGCAGGAGCAGGGATCAGGGTCGGAGGAGGTCGATCCTCGCCAAATCTGCGCCGGACGAGGTTGATCTATGCCGGAGGAGGTTGATCCGCGCTGGGGAACGTCAGATCCGCGCCGGGGAAGGTCGATCCGCGCTAGAGGAGCTTGATCCATGTCGTAGGAGCTCCAAGGAAAGGCGCGCGCCGCTTCCACCGAGCCCGCGGCGCTGCCGCTGGCCAGCCGCCAGGCCACCCCTCCTCCGGGACCACGGCCACGTGGTTTCCTCCGCCACGCTTTGGTGGGGGAGGAGGAGCTGCATGGACATGGGAAAGAGAGGCTGGCACCACCGCCACTGCCACATCTAGAGAGAGAGAGGGAGGAGCTGGCATGAGATGGAAAATGAGAATGAAATTGTAACCCTAACTCTCTCTCTCTCTCTCTCTCTCTCTCTCTCTCTCTTGAGAGAGATGGAAAATGAGAATATAATATATATATATATAACTCTCCATATATATATATATATATATATGACGAGCGTGGTATTAGGCCGAGATGGGCTGTCTGTTGGGCCACTGTTTCTGGAGGCGGTTGCCTTATAACAACTACCTCCGTTAATGTATTAACCAAGGCGGGCAACCTAACACGCTCGCCTCGGTTAATGTATTAACCGAGGCGGTTGAGTTAGGATAACCGCCTTGGTTAATCGACATTAACCGGGCGGTTCTCTTACAATGCCCGCCTCAGTTAAGCATTAGCCGAGGCGGTTGCTAGGCCGGCTGCCCTTCCATGAATAACCGAGACGGACAGCTAGCTCCACCCGCCTCTGAGTTCAATTTGAAAACGCCTCGCAAAAGATTTTGTGTAGTAGTGCATCTATGTCATACGTTTTTTCTTTCCTTGGATGCATGAGAAATATTTGTCTATGGTGTTATTTCTTACGTTGAAAAATGGGCAGCGGTGTTTGCGTGAGCCCGTGGCCCTAGGGAGGAGGCCTGCTGCGGGTGCTGGTGCGGCGGCGGGGATACGAGCCACCGCCATCCTTAGAGCAGCGGAGGAGGCAAACAGAGACGGGGATGGATAGGAACGACTTCTCCACCTTCATCCGCGACGGGGAGGAGATCCATGAATTTAGGGTCGAGCTGGATAGTCGTAGACTGTCTCCAACAACCGCTACCCAAAATACAAGACCCATTCCACGTTTGGGTAGCGCTATAGGCAAATGGTTCAATACTCATTTTTGTTCTTCTCCAATAATAAGATCCAAAATATAACCCTTTCTGTAAATGGATCTTCAGGAGAAAGGATATTCAAATTTGAAGTTATACTTCTCCTGACACATAAAATGGGTCTTCTATATAATATTCTATTGAAGGCTATAGATATTCCGTTGAAAACTCATTTTAGGTTTGGGTCTCTTGTTGAAGACAGCCTATGACAAACAAGGGTATGTTTGCCCCACACACGAAATGGGTCGGTCCATGAATTTATCAGGCCGGGCCGTGTATAGAGGATCTTCATGGATCGGTTGGCACAACAAACCTGGCCGGAGTTATAAAAAAAAAAGAACTGGCCGGAACTCTCTATGTGCTCCCTATAGTAGGCATCATGATGACTCGTACTAGTAGCAAGTGTAGCACATCATCGGCCAAATGGAAAAGCCGTTGCGTGCTCACCTCAATTAAAAAAAAAGAAGCCGTTGCGTGCGTTGCTTGCCGCCATGAAGCATGAAACATCACCGTTAAAGATGAGCGAGGTCAAAACCCTGCTGCGTTCTTTACCGGAGCTGTGCCTGTGCTGCGTGCGGCCTGCACGTCTGCGGTCTGCCAATCTGTCGACGACAAACAAATCCACCCTTTTGACTGCGTGTGCGTCGGATCAGTGCGTTTGAGAGAGACGAGGCCGGTGCACCGTGCCGTGCACAAGAGAGAGAGAATGTGGGTGAGACCGGAGACGTACAGAGAGCAATACACACGCATGGCCTGTTCAAATTCCCTTTTCCCGGTCCCCCCTGAGACGACGAGGCACTGCATCTGCATGCCAGAGAGAGGCAGTGGCAGAGCACAGGTGCAGAACCGTCCGGTTGGTCTGCCGACGCGCCCCGGCGGACCCTGGACTGGACTGGCCGGCCGGCCGGGCAGCTACCACTACCAGCCAGCGGAGGAGGGAGCAAGGCAGGTTGCGCACGGGAGAGGCCTGCCCACACGTAACGTATGTTTCCTGGCTGCATCCACGTACTACTCCTACAGTGCTGTGGTCGTGATCGATCATCGTCCGCGAAAAGGCCTCTCTGCACTTCTGAAACCTTTATGATCAGAATTCAGAAATTCAGAATAAAAATAAAACTTTGTTTAGATTTTTAGATTGAAATCCACGGTATTTAATCTTTTAAACCTAATTTCGTTATGATTTGACAATTATTTACCAATTATGACATAACTAACTAGGCTCAAAAGATTCATTTTGCAAAAATTTTGCATCAAAACAAGCCCCTAATTATTTTTTTATACTACTATTTAATGTGGTCGTATCGATCATCGTCCGCGAAAAAGGCCTCTCTGCATATGATAAAGATCAGAATTCAAAAATTCAGAATCCAGACCAGACCTCCCCATGCACCTCCCCATACCATGCAGCGTTTCTGCAGACTCTACCAGCAATCATTTCTGCTGCCAGACTCCGTCAATCATCACACAGTGCTGCCAGACTCCGTTGAATAAAATAAAAGATCCACTTCAGTGCTACTAGTACTCCAGAACTTGCATTGGGATGGCTTATTTTTAATTTCCAGCCTTAGTACTCAGAACTTGCATTGGGATGGCTTATTTCATTTCGGCCTTGTTTAAATTCCAGAGTGTATAGTTTTGTGGTGTTACATGGAGATGTCGCATGGGGTATTCGGATACTAATAAAAAAATAAATTATAAAATCCGTCAATAATCCACGAAACGAATTTATTAAGTCTAATTAATCCATCATTACCATATGTGTTACTGTAGCAAACATTGTTATCAAATCATGGACTAATTAGATTTAAAAGATTCGTATAGTAAATTAGTCACAAACTGTACAATTAGTTATTTTTTTAGTTTATATTTAATATTCCATGTATGTGTCTAACCATTCAATGGAATAAGGAGTAAACTTTAGAGAGAAAGTAAATCAAGGCCTTCATCGGATGAAAATAAAGCAAAACACAAGTGCTGTTTGGTCCTGACGTAAAATACATGCGTGCATGGCAAAATATACCTAGGTTTGGTTCGTACTGAAGGAAAATGATACATATCATCAGATGACAGCAGCTAAGCTAGCTTAATTAGCTACACTCCGAAATATATAAGCGTCCGTGCGTGGATCAGTAGTGTTGTCGCTCTTCGCGTTCCCTTCCCTTTGACACCTTTTGACTCAGAAGACTTGCAGCTTATATCATTCAGTTGTTAGTCGCCTGTGAATGCAGAACAAATGGGAAACAATAATGTTAGCAGTACTACAGAAATGGTTGCTTATGAGGATTTTCTCCTTTTCCGGTACTGAACACTGAGCAGACAGGATTAGTTCATGATCGCTGGCTATAGGTTATCACATACCATGAGCACGTAGTAGAGAGTGTCCTGCTGGAGCGGCTCCACGGTGACGCCAGACTCGTCGACGGGGACCGCCTCGCCGGTGTGGCGCGCCAGCAAGGCGGCCTCGCCGAACGCCCCCTTCACGTCCAGGCGCATCGCCGGGACGCTGAACTGCGCGGTTGCGGTGGCCGCGCACGTCACGGCGTCCCGCGCCACGGCCACCAACGTCGCCGTCGGCGTCTCCCCGATCAGCAGCCCAGCATCCAACAGCCCTGCTAACAGATCGAGTGGAATCATTGCCAAACTTGCAGCATTTCCAAGCTTGATAGAAACTACTCTCCGTCTCAAAAAAAAGTTGCTAGGGGAATCGTGCTGGTCAACCTTTTTCAACTTTAACTAGGTTTATATATAGAAAATACGTGCAACATTTATATCTCCAAATAAATTTATTATAAAAGTATATTTAATTATCTATCTAATGAATAATTATACCATAAATATTAATATTTTGTTAAATATATTTAGTAAAG